ACTCAGACGCTCCTTCAGATAATATTAACCTTTTCAACCTGAACTACTGAACCCGAGCCAAGATGCTGAGCTGACTTCACAGTAGTTGGGTTTATCTTGTGTATTCATGTAGCCTCAAGGTTTTACTCTCATTTTAAACATAACGTGACCTGTTACTTGAAATCTGCAGAGAGGGAAAGATTATGTTCATTTTTTTAACATATTAATAAAAGGTAGGTCAGAGAAGTGTTGCCACTAGAACATGAGGAATTTGTCTACTGAATCTCATCTCAAGATTTAGTTTCATATCTAATATTTTTTACAGATTAACCAAACTCATGAAATGTATTGCTTCTACCCCTTTATTTAAAATTATCACAAGCTATCTTTACTGTCTTGCTTGATTATGATCCAGTATTTTTCTTGTATTTTGTTATATAAGAATAGACCAATAGATTGTAATTCATGTACAACAACTTCCTTACTATGAATGCGTAGTAAATAGGAGGCTGTTGAGGGAAGACTCGTAATTAATAGCCTAGTAGTTGTCATGATCATGCTACTAATATGCATACTTTACAAATTTTTTTCACATGCATGAAATACAAAAATGTAAAAAATGGTGAAATAGCATATAACCGTACTTTACATTAACAACCTACTGGAGTCTAAAATATAAAAATCTTAATTTTGGTCTTAAATATGATTTTGACAGTTCTTAAAAATGTATTTGATAAATGAAGTTAACTTATGTGCATAAAGTTGCACTTTGACCAATACCTTTTCTTTCCTTCATATTCCTCTGACTTTTTTTGCTGGTATGAACGTGAAATAGGTCTCAAATTACATTCAGAATGGTCTCAAAAAGTTCTTGAAAAATCTTAAATTGAAACCTGCAGAAACCCTATTTTTTTATCTTATCTTAATATGTCTCTCTGCATTTGGCCAACGAGTAATGTCGGAAATGTCAGCACAGAAATGTCAAACATACTGTGTGTGTGTGTGTATGTATATGTATGTATGTATGTATGTATATATATATATATATATACACACATGTCTCATTGAGGTCATTTAGAAGCATTATCTCTATCAGAGTCCTCACAAGATTATCTTTTAAAAATGAACTGTCCAACTCAGTACCGTTCTCTGATAACCAAACTTAAGGAAGTCTTATCACGTATATTTATCTATGTACATTTTTGTTTTAATAGGAATATCTACTAACTGTAGTCTACTGTTATCAGATTATTTAATTGTCATTTATTGATATCAGCATTGGCCTCAGTAACCCAGTATAGGTCGGGCTCTAATTGTGAGTGTATGTTCACTGTAGCTGCAGTGAAAATATCTTGGCATGACATCACGTCTGCCCAGTTATCCTTGCAAATAAGAAAAATATACTGACACATGTACAGAGTTTATTTACTTGAGTGTGAATTTTTCTTTCCATTTTGAGCGGGCTCAGCTCATCTCCTCCTCCACCTTGGTTTATGTAAAGGTGCACCGGTGAATGGACTCTTTTAGCTCGGTGTAATTGAACCTGACCCACATGCACAATTAACTCTAACCCATAATATTTGCTCAGTGGTATTGGGTTTTGGATGGCCCGGCCCCAGCGGTGAGGTCGACCTCGGCATAGTCAGCCGAGCCATCAATCACTGCTGCTCCCTGAAGGGGCGGGTCTCTAAAAAGAAACAAGAGGCACAGTGGTGATTTGATTGGTGCCAAAGCGTGGTCGGCGCTGGGGATGACTCAAGGTATTTCCAAGGTCCCCTGAAAGCCAAGCTGTCAGTTGTGTGCTTAGGAACCCGTAACGTTTTTCCTTTGAGTTTTCTTTTGTAATCTGTGTTGGTTCTCCAGCAGTCTGCTGTGTCCACTTTAAGATCGGGTGTGGGACCAAAACTTCTCAATGCCTGTCAAATAGTTTGACACCTGAGACTTGGTCAGATTCTTTTTAATTTTATACGGTTATGAACTTTTGTGGGACATTCATTGATGTTTACAATCTAATAATGATGATGATAATAAGACTATAATAGTAGGAGTGGGTAAAAATATCGATTCATCAATGCATTGCAATATATTTTTTCCCAATTCAATATCGATTCATTAAATCCTCTGAATCGATTCAAGCCCCTGGCCAGTGGGGGCGTGGTGAGCAACACCTTTCGGGCTCCAGACATTGGTTGCACTGGTGCGCCTAATAAAAGTTAGGCGCACCAGTGCAAAATGTAGGTGCACCCAAATTTTTCATTGCGTCGCCTTTAACGCCATAAGGTCACCTTTTTATTGCTCTCCATAACTTGTCTTTATTTGAAGCACAATTATATATAAAAAGAAAAATAAAGTGTTTAAAGTGCTTCACTGAGATGAAATTGAACATTTCAAACTAAAACACTAAGCAAAATAAAACATTTCCAAATGAAAGTGCTTGTGCTTAAATTGCTTCACTGAACTGAAATTGAACATTTCAAACTCACGCTCCGTGTCTTGACGGGATGGACTCTCAGTAGTGGGGATGGATGGGATTATAGTAGTAGGGCTGGTTGTAGGCTTGGTTTTCTTAATGAAAAAACTTTCAATATTTGTGCCTCTCTTCATTTTCCCTCATTTTGTCGCGTTTATTTCATTTTTCCGTTTCAGTTAGTCAGCTATTCTGGTGCTCAGGTCGCGCGCAATTTTTAACACACACAACTTAGCACAGTGAACAGGACCACAGCCAATCAGAGGCAAAGACAGCGGTTTTGGAGTCGTTGAAGTCGGCACTTAAACGATATCGAAGCATTTAAATCGGTGTCGAATCGATATCGAATTGTGACCTAAAGAATCAAAATCAAATTGTGAGGTTCTTAACAATACCCAGCCTTATATAAGTTGTTTGTTGTTGTTTTTGTTTTTTTTGATTGATTTGCATGAACATAGAAGAAGACACGGGTCCAGTTAATAATGCATATAAAAGATTCAGATGAAAGAATGCAATCGAAGACTGAAAGTCATTTTCTCCACAGAGCAAATGGAGTTGATAAGATGTTGATAAGAAGGGCAATGTTACGATGGTTCCTCAGGAGCCAGACCTTTTAGGAATAATTCCCAGGTACAAAAAGATTAAAAGAGAAATCAGATTCCGGGTCCAGAATTTCTGAGACTAAATGATCCCCTCCTTTCCCAAAAGGCTCAGCATATACCAAGAACAAACTATGAAAATGGTCTGCTTACTTACCGGTAATTTGGATTTCTGGTTTCTGATCAGATTTTTCCAGCAGAAATCTCCCGTAAACAAGCAATAGACATATTGTTGTTGATATTATTATGATAATGATGATAATGGTAATAATAATATAACAATGGCAATAATTGTGGTGTTAATATTCAGTAATAAGTAGTTTTAATTTACCAAAACAAATTGGTTGATTTTGATTTAATGAGCAAACTCTGACTGTTGAGGAAAAGATTGAGATATGGATGAAAGTTGTAGAAAAAGCTAGTAAGTACTGACCTTTTAGTTAAGTTTCTTTTTTCCTACTGTTTTACAACTATTTCCAAGGTCAAGAATGAATTGTCTTGATCAACAGTAGTTTTTAAGCGCCACAAGAACAGTAAAGATTAGTTGATTAACCATTTAGTCAATGAATCGACAAAAAAGCCTGAATCCTTTTCACATTTTGCTCTGGTTGCTACAGACTTGTGATATCTTAAAAAGCCTCCAATCGTGATTTTGCATCAGAGCGCCACTATCTGAAGACGGACCGAAGCTAAGAGCTCCTTTTACGTGTACTTTGGGTAAACACACTAAGGTCTCCAAATACATGGATCTAATTGGTGCTTTTTCTGCAGTGTCCACTGGGAGAGTGGCTGACAAACACACGCACACCTCCAGGGAAGAACACCTGAGCTCTAGTAGAGTGTGTTTGTCTTTACAGGCCCACTGGGACGAGGGGGAGAGGCTTCACCTTGTCCTAAGCTGGGCGGATTCACAAGCTTTTAAAGGCCCCGGTTATAATTTAAGCCACAGTTTTTGTATTGATATCAGTGCAGCCAATGGAAATAAGAGTTAATGAGATCTCATGAGAATTGAGCTGCAGGTTTAGTGCCTCGGTACGTTCAGCGACACACTTGCATTAGTTGCATAGGTTTTCATCCAGTCCTTCACCCTGGATCACCACGGGTCTGGAAAGTACACCTTGAACATGCTTGGACTTACCAAGCAATGATGCACTCCTTAAAATTGCTAGGATTTATCTTACCAGAATACCTGAGTTTGATCCTTTTTATACATCTGGATTAAGCTTGATACCCTTCTGAGCTTTCATCTATTTCTCTGCGTACCAGCTACAGCAATAAGCTGATGGCTGTGCTGCGTTATTGCTTGTTTTGCTCTCATAGGCGTTCCTAGCTAAAATATACAGCTGTGTCGCCTAGGTAGCCTGCATCCTTAAGACCTATATTTGGACCCTCTCATTAACAGTGAGATTTCTGGTTATTTTGCTCTTATAACATATTTTCTTTAACACTGATAAGTAAGTTTGGAAAGCCTTTTCTTCTGAGTAAACATATCATATCCAAATGTATTGATTTGTTTTGCAGTGGTACCTATTGATGGCAGAAAAGGGTGCACTATGAATGAATGTATTCATGAAATGCATGAACATTTAATAGCAATAGCTGAACATTAAATTACATTTCCATTATAAAAATATTTTTAAAACAAAATATTGACATAAGCTTCTGTCCATTACTGGCTATTTAGTCACTGATCACGAGCAAGAAAAAAGATATCTGTTGGGCCCGCAAATAGTTTCTTCTGATATGCAGGTTAGCACATATTTAATGAGACATTGCCTGATTTATATAATTTAATGATTAAAAAGAACTAAATGTCATAATACATTGCTGATGTACCCTCAACAGTGAATGGATGAGGGCAGCTGCTTTGCATTTTCTAGAACTAAATGTTTTGTTAGTCACCTTGCGTTGAAGGTTGATGGTCTCTCTAATAACAAATGTATCTTTCATTTCAGTGTGTAAGGATCCACCGTACAAAGTGGAGGAGTCTGGATACGCAGGCTTTATCTTGCCCATTGAAGTCTACTTCAAAAACAAGGTATGTTTAACAATGTTACTCACAAGCAAACTGAGCATAATATTGGCCAAGTCCTGATGGACTGATTGTGACGGTTCTACTCTTTCCCCTCTCTGGGTGGATTGCCGCTTTTCCTCAGGAAGAACCGAAGAAAGTTCGCTTTGATTACGACCTGTTCCTCCACCTGGAGGGCCACCCGCCTGTCAATCACCTCCGCTGTGAGAAGCTCACCTTCAACAACCCGACAGAGGAGTTTCGTAGGAAGCTGCTGAAAGCCGGAGGGGTAGGAGTGCGAGGGAGAGGCTGGGGCTTGAGTGACATCTCTTAATGTGATACAGCTACTTCTACTGCAGCTGCCAGCCTAGCAGGAAAAACTTTATCTCTATTTTTCCAGGGAAAGTTGATGGAGTTCAGTGCAGTTTTTTGCAGAAACACTCACACAATCAACCTGCCTTTCTTCAGCCGCAGGGAAAAGATGTGCAGTCTTAAAGTGATGGTCACTGAGGTCAGGTGCCTTGCTGAGGATGCCTTAGTGTTTGAGACAAGCCATTCATTCTTTGAATCAGATCTTTAAGACTGAGTGCCCGCACTGGAAGTAATCAGGTCAGATTTATTTAACACCACTTTCCAAAGCAGAAGCAGGAGAAATGGAGATCCACAATTTCCTCCGTTGTCTGTTTTTGGACTGTAGTTGTCCTCCATACCGCTCCGTTTCTAAGCAGCATGGAATCCACTCAACCGCTCTTCTGCACTTCTCTCACTCTGAATTTGATATTGTTTTTGTCTGTCATGTTGCAAGTGACAAAAAGACACTTTGAAATCCGATTATGAGCGTCCAGACAGAGACACATCTGTAGAAATCAGATTGGACGGGAGCCCTGATAGCTCACCTGGTAGAGCTGGTGCCCCATGTACCAAGGCTGAGTCCTTGCTGCAGCGGCCATGGGTTGAACTCCGACCTGTGGCCCTTTGCTGCGTGTCATCCCCTCTCTCCCCCTTTTCCTGTCAGTCTTCAGCTGTCCTATCCAATAAAGGGAAAAAAGCCCCATAATGTGGCTTGGATCTGATTTCCAAAAATCGTGTTTCATGTGGTTTTTTGGATACAATCTAGATGGGCCAAACAAATTGATTGGATTGGATTTGGGCTAGCAGTATGATTCCTGTTCCAAATATGAGTAATGATTGACAACAATGGAGCTCTATGGCACAAAGGAGGAAGATACACACACATTACTTATTAGAAGGGTATGTTCACTGTTGGTTTGCCTGTACACATGGGATTTGTTGACAGTAAATAACCAGAATTATCTTTTTATTTTGTTTTTTCTGTTAAAACCAGTTTTCAATTCCATAGCTATTTTATATTGGAGAAGTAGAAGCAGACAAATGATGACAGGGCCTTACACCATGAATGAATTCTGGATTCCAAATATTCCAATGGACTAAAAAGGCTTCCGTAATGTCTGTATGTTAGTGCCACAGTCACATTTTTTTCTGTTAGGTGTAAAAACCTGAGAAAACTGCTCTTTGTTTAACTCTTAGGCATCGCAGCTGTTGTTCACAAGAGGAGTGTGACTGTGCACGCCGAATGTCATTCTGTTACAGTATATGAGGTGTAACCTAACCACTCCCATTATCTGTTCTCCTCTCAAGAGGCTGCTTTATTGTTTGACCAGTTATTGTCTGTGTGCTTTATCTCTTTAGAATCAATCTGCAACATACAGTTTGCTTAAACATACAGATGTCAGAGATTCTCTTGCTTTAGTATTGTTTTATGAAACCTATACAATGCAGAATGACTTTAAATTTCACCAGATCAGCTGTTCTAGTCATTAAAGCTGTCTGTAGTGGTTAGAGTTGTGATAAACTGGCATCAGTTTACCTTTTAGTTGCTCTGAGGGATGTCCCCATCAAGTGTTTTTGGCCATGATCCCGATCCAGAGTATGTGCCAATACCAATCCAATATTAATATTTACCTAAAGGTTGATTAAATAAGCATCTGACACATTGGAATAACAGTTGTAGCTACTCAATTTGGCCAACCTTACTTTTCACGAGCTGTTATATCCAAATGCTAAAGGCCCTGTTTCAAAACCTATAAAGTCACTTACATTAATGATATGATGAAAGGGTGAGAGAGAGAGAGAAAGAGAGAAACAAAGAGAAAGAGAGAGAGAGCAGGAACTACAGAAATACTCCCTGTTGTACAGCCAAACAATCTTTGGCTGAGTACAGATTCCAGCTTGCAGAGAGCACAAAATCCAACAGTTTTAGTTTGGCCTGCCATCGAGACCTGCCGCCAGCGTTGTTTGCCATTTTAACAGGTGAAAGCGAAAGATGAGAAGGTGCTAGCTGAGTGTGTTATATGTTGCTTTTTGCTAATACAACAGGAGAGATAACAGCTTTGTTACCATCAGAGTTTAGCAAATCTGAGTATTTTGCCAACTCGGGTGTCATTCACCAGTGCAACCATATCACGTTACTCTATTTTTCACTTGCATACAGAGCAAAATGCTTGCATTGTAGAGCCCAGCTGTCATTAAGGAGGACAGCACTGCAACACTAGCAGACTCACATAGGCAAAACACTGTAGAGTTCTTTATTGAAACCGATACGATCCATTACAATATGGCCAGATCTGCCCTGATACCAATCCTTAGGATCAGCTCGGGACATCCCTAGTTGCTTCCTCAGTGTCGGGTGCAGTCAGTCTGTTGGCCCCCAGCCAGAGGACCCCTGTAGTCTGGAGGTTTTATGACTGGAGCTAAGTGCTCTCTATTTACTTTGCCCTGCACCCCCTTCTTAGCCTCAGAAAGGGCTCAAGTGCTGACACAGACCATGTCGAAACTCACATTCACTATTGTCAGGGCTCACAACTGAAGAGTCTTCAATGTCATTACTCTGTTCAAAGTTACTTTACTACACCCTGTTCCACAGATTTGGACATTAATAAATAACAATAATGTTAGCTTAAATTCTTATAGGATTAAGCTGTAGATGATAATTATGCGTCTCCTTTGTTCTCCCTCTCTTTGACAGCAACGGGATCCTCACAAACGAAGTACAGAAGACTCAAAAGTAAGGTTTCCAACATGCTTCGGGGGTCATGGATGAAACAGGCTTGTCTAAAGATCTGAACACCTCCTATACAGTGGCTTTGAATAACTTTTTGTGTAATGATACCAGTACTTTTATTCTCCTGGCTGGGAGATTTACCGTCAGTGTGCCTCAGCACTCCGGTATAGACACACTGAAGCAGCTGTGTTGTCTTTACTTGCATATTCTGGCCATGGTTCTAGCCCTGTAACGGCTGCTAGATATTCCAGATAAAACAGGCAGCTTTTAGATGTTTGAATGTGTGCTGTGTAGACATCGAGGCTCTTGGCATTAGGGATGCTAACACATTTACTCATGATCCTTAATTCTTCCTTCAGCATAATAAGCCTTCTCTTAGTTCATACTGGATCCCTTAGAAGTAACCAGGAGTTAATGTACTTTTCAAACAGATTGATTACACTGGTTATATTTTTTAAAGAAGTGGTTTAACATTTTGGGAAATATACTCACATTCAATGTCTGTGCACAGAGCTGGAGTCAGTAAAGGGTTAGCTTAGCTTAGCATTAAGACTGGAAGCAAGAAAGAACAACTAGCCTGGCTTTGTCCAAAATAAATTAAGATTAAATTAGATGAGAAAATAAGTTTTGCTATGCCATCTGTAATGCTAGCTAAACCTTGGGGACAAATGCACCAGTCAAAGTACGTCCACTAAAAAGCTTGTCACTGTGGGCTCAGATTGTTATTCTAAGTGACTGACAACATTATGGAAAGCAGTCCTACAGAGATAGAGCTTTTGTTTAAACAGAAACGGCCATAATATTGCTTATGCCACCAGACTCCATAGACAAAAACAGTAATTTTACCTTGCATATCATCATATAATCGTAACTTTATTCAAAAACTAAATAAAACTCCTCAAAACAATCTTTCTTTCCACTGTTCCAACAATCACCAACTCTGCTTTGGTCCAAATAAATCCTTAATTCACCGCCGTAGAAGATAAAAACAGCAGTTTCAGTCGTTCTACTCAGCTGCACACGGAGGAGACCAGCTATGGAAACAAACCACGGAGAGGCTGCGATACAACACAGGCAGAGGGAGTGTGACACCATGACTCCACTGTATCATTACATAGCAAATAGATGTTTGGTGCTATATATATATATATATATATAAAATCAGTAAACAAGACCAAGAATCTGACCAAGTATTCAATGCCAGCAAGGTTTTTGGTCTTTCATGTCAACGCCCAAAAGGATTTTAGTTTGATACACAGCCCTACTTTTCAATTTTATAACTAACCCAAAGCAAAATCTTTGAAAGTTGAGAAGCCTCTGATGATTTTGGTTTGTTGCTATTCCTCTGGCAGGTGATGGTAATGCAGGAGGGCTCCACCTCCCTGTTCGGCCAGCACCTGAAGCTGCCCACGCTTCCTAACAGCTCGCTGACATCCTCCTTCTCCGACCCAAAGAAGAGCAAAAGCTTCCATGGGTCAAAGGTCAGTGGTGTTTCCAGGCCCAGCCTGGAGCTAAACAGCCTTCCTCTGCCTCTGCTTTCGGCCCCACCCGACTCTGAAGCTTTTTACCCCTTCAAAGTCTCCAAGCCCTAATCCCCCACATATTTGGCAGGTTCAAAGACGTCCAATATATTTAAACTCAGGGATTTCAAAGACATCCAACTTTGGCTTAAGCAAACTATATCTTGGCTGCAGCTCAGCCATAAGCACTTACTTCACTGACTCAGAGACGTGCTGTGAATCTTTTGACAACCTGTGGGTTTTGGAATGGCCATTATGCTCTAATGTCCTTTAAAAATGTATTACACACAGACGTTTTAGACAATAACGTAAGATAGTGAACAACATTGAAGATGGCGAAAATGCATATATGCCCTTAGAAGCTACACGTGCGATTTGAGACATTATCTTGTGCAGCACTAAATCATGTATGTCAATAAGCTGGCATGTTGTTTCCATTATGTGTTATTTTTAGTCACTTTAAATAGTGTCATTTAAGAGCCAGGTTAGGAGAGGCCCATTTCACATGGAAACAGTTTCCAGTCTAAACACAGTGTGTGTGATGAATTACTTGTGGAGCAGGAGGTCACACACACACACACACACACACACACTCACACTCACACTCACACTCACACTCTGTCTCTCCCTCTCCCCTCTCTCTCTCTCCCTCTCTCTCTCTCTCCATCATGTCCTGAGAATTATTGCTCAGGTATTATAGCACATTGGATATTTTTGTAATTAATCGTAACTAATTTGACAAGGACCTAAATACTTAAGTTTCCCTCCATTACTTATGTAATTCCTCGTATGATACTGCCACATCTGATATATTCCAAATAAGAACAGTGTATTAGGTTAGGAAAATTACAAAATGAATACAAAACACAATATATCTAATATACACACTATAATATTAACATAGTATGAAATGTACAGATGGAGAGATGCCAAGTGCAATATTCAAATCTCAGAAGTAGAGCTCGAGCAAAATGGGTATTTTTCTCTTGAAAAAATTCTCTAATTACCGATATTAAAGCTGTTATAGTGATTTGAATTGTAATGAAAATAGAGCAATTTTGCATCAATATGACTATTTAAAGATACACAGAAGGCTGCTTTCTTAAGCAAATAATAGTTGTTAATTGTTAAATAATTTAACATATAGGCTACATTGTCAACCAATTCTAGAAATAAGCACTGAGAAAATAAAGAATTAATAAAACTACTCAGAAGTAATTGTTTGATAAGATAAGGTAAAATGTGTGAGGGAGAAGCATTATGATGAAGAGCCTATAAATATATGTTTTGCATTAGAAATAAAAATAAATTGTTATTATTTTCAACCTATAATTCATTGGCTCTAATTTAATTATAATACTAAACAATATCAATTTCCCATTATCTGCTGATAATTTAACAGCCCCGATAATTATCTTGCATCCCTAATTTTAATCATTTCTTCAGTGACTATGAAAATTGTGATGCTCATTCCTATTAAATTTGAATCATATCTCAACTGTAATATCTGTTCAAATGTTTTATCATATAATGCAATCCTATTTGAATAAAACTTCTCACCTGCTGCAGGCAGTCATGTTAGTTCGTAAATGTTTATGGATAAGGTTCAGGCTGTCAGGTGATGTTACACACCTATAAACTAAAAGTGACAGTTGTTGTGACGGTGGATTGTGCTGCAGAAAGCTGTCCAAACTTCTTTTTTTTGGTGACGTCTTTAAAAGCACCATAAGGCCTGTAGCAAACACTACTGTCACTACTGTTAGCCAGTATGTTATTCATAATTAATTGATTCTTTAATTCTATTGATTATATCTTCTGTGATGTAATAATAAACAATTCTAGTTGTCATTGTTCCTACTGGTTTTCCATCATAAAGTTATATTTTAGCCAGTAAGGCTGTTAAACAGGCATTCAACTGCATTTGGTGTGATACTAAAAATGTCTTAAAAGTTTTAATTGAATTTGCTGAAACCTGCTGAAATCTGGAGTATAATGCAATTCATATAAAGCAAAATGCATTTAGTATCTGTTTGTAATTATGATGTGCTTTCAATTCCAGTCTGACAGTATTATTGTCATACTCCCTTCAGTGATTTATATCAACTTAGGTCACCTGCTAACCTGTCAATGTCACGGTGCTGAAAGGTTTGTTAAAAAGTGCCACTTTAGTGATCTCTTCAATGCTGATGGCAGAGAATCTCTGTGTGTCCCTTCCAGAGCACTAAACCAGTTTTTATGTTGTGCTGCCCTGGGAGGGAAATGGGTTCACTGCAGAGGAGAAGCATGCAGCAGTTTAGAATGAGCCGGCAGCTTTACATCCTGAGGTCCCGGGGTCACCAGCAGATAGACAAAATGAAAGGTTTTAGAGGTGATTGGGCAGAGTTGTAACACACCCCGTCGTCTAGACTGCTTTAATGGGTTTACTGCATTGATGAAATATTGACAAGGGGGCTGGAGGTGAGACCCAGGGACAAATGGCCCCCGTCGTTAGAAGGAATGCATTTCCTCCTTTCTCCACATTGCTCTTTGCTCCACTTTTAAAGTTGCGCATGTGTGGCGGCTGAAAAGGCCCCTCCACCCCACTGAACAGCACTGTTCAAAAGAAGTCCTGAGTTTGCTCTTAAAGCCCATAGATGGGGACTAAGAAGACCCTTTTGATTTTCTTTTAAGAATAGACTTCTTTTCACAGATGGTAATGCCAAACTGCAGGGTGGCATGCATGTTTCCTCTTGTGTAAAAGGCAGAGGATTAATCTTCATTTGACCTAGCTGCCTGGTTTTTGCTCACTTTGTTGTTTGGTACTATGCGTTGTAGAAGTCTTGAGTGCAGTCCAAAGTTGACAGAATACGAACAGCAAGAAGACAACATAATTACAGGAGATTGGAAAAGATGTGATTTAAACCAAAAACACCCCCCTGTTTTTAATATTTTGGGTTCTTTATTAACTTTATATCTTTATTATTTTCAGTGGCAGTTCTTTTCAGTTATTATTACAGCAATGTAAGCCCGTACTATCCTCAGACAACAGTATTTCTCTGTGGTAAATTAAGGCCTTGCCCTATTATGTTTGCCCAGTGACCTAAAGTGGGATTTCCCTTTACCCTGCTCCATAATCCTAAGAGCTGACGTTTTTCTTTTGAAGCTTAGATGATTCTGTGTAATTCTGCTCCAACACCCTGAATGTTGGATAGAATTTCTTGGTGTTTTTTCGTTCATGACTTAACTTGCCATCATGCAGTTTGTACGTCACAATTTAGACTGCCAGTAGCCAAGAAAGCTAAACCTATTGCTTAATTTTCAGTCTTTTGTTCTGTAGGATGTGTTCATACAATACAGGATCTTTCTCATTTGCTGGCTTTAATCCACAGGATGGCTCCAAAGGAAGCGGCACTACCCTGCTCACCACCGCCACAACCACCAGCACCAACAGCAGCAGCTTCTCCAAACTCCACAAACCCTCCAAGGACCATAAAGACAAGCCTCCAAAAGACTTGAAAGAGCCCAAAAGTGCCTTCAGAGACTCTGGCTGGGAACCCAGCAAAGCCCCCAAAGAACCTTCCAGGAAACCCAAAGAGAACCAGCCACTTAGAGATATCAATCCTAAGATGGGCTTCAAGGAACCCAAGTCTTTGTCCAAGGAGCATCGGACTGAGGGAATGAACCACGGGTCCGGACTAAACAAGCGTCTGTCCACCCCCGACGGTGATGATCACCTGACCAAAAAACGTAAAAAGGGATTTCTGGATTCATCAGGGAAACAGACGTCAGGGTTAGACGCCCAACATTTGGATAAGAAACTCTTGAAGGACAGATCGCAGATGCGGACAAGTAAATCACGGCCAGACGGTGATGAGGTGGAGCGCAGGAAGGTGTCAACACTTCCTCCATTCCAGGACCTGGTGGACCCCAATGACTCTGATATGGAGGACCAGTCTACCAAATCGGATGTAAGTGGAACACCTTTTTTGAATCTTTTTGGACTTTTAAATGTTATCAAAACCAGTACAAGAGTTCTTGATCTGTCTTAATAGTAAAGCAGCTGATTTAATTGATATACTCCATGTCCAGCACGTTAGACTCACTGCTTTGAGCTTTCAGGCCACTTTACTGGAAAAAGTGGTGAAGGGAGGGGTTGTGGAAAGGTGTCCAATTCTTCCAAAGCTTTAGGGGGAGGATTTGTTGGTGGTCAGCTCTTCCTCTGCGTGGAGGGGCTATATAATCAAACAACTAACAGCGAGAGAATCTTCTTTAATGGTGGTCTGGTGGCCCCCAGGAGGTTGGCCAGGGGGGATTGGAAGAAGGGGTGGGCACCAATAAACCTAGTGGGAGATCAGATGCATTCATCTGGGTGGCCAAACGAGAAGTGGACAAAACTGAAGATATTTACAAGATGAAGTTTTTTGTCCTTACTGACAGCGAAGGACTGATTTTGTACACCTAAATTATGTTTCTATCAAAAGTAATAGAATATGGGTATCGAATGTGCTTGCTTACAAACTTAAAGTATTCCTCCATACTCCACCTCAAGAGCAGGATTAGAGAAACTTCAGGTCTATAGTGGCTCCTTTCATGAATAGGCAGGACTGGGTTGCCTGGTCCACGCACATTTGGTGGAGAACCTCCTCATAAAGAAGGGCTGTTTTAAAGCCAAACAGTAGACAAGAAAGATTTATGGTTTTACAACACCTGAGGAGAAAGGGGAGACACGGCAGTGAATAGCGTAGAGTTCCCCTTTTAATCCTTTTAGCTTTTGAAAGAAGAAAAAGGGTGAGCGTTTGCGGAAGAAAGGTCTAAATCCCTGTGCTTTTGAGCAGTTTTCTTTTATGTGACGGTGTTTTCATTTCTATTCTCAAATGCTTGTATAAAGCGTGGCTCTTTATGTACCTTTCTCTGTAGGGGCAGCTTGTTTAGCCAGGGGAGTTATTACTTAGCACTAGCAGAACTTGTGTTTTTGTCTGTGCCGTACGCAACTGCCTTTTAAGTCCTCCCATACAGGGACTGGGGGGTCGGCGCAGTTGTAAAGGGGATGTGGGGTGACAAATGCCAGGTGTTTGATTCTCCCCAGGCTAGCAACCCCGGTGGCCGAGCACTGGGGCCGACACAGAGCGCCGCTCTCATTTCTCATGTGACAACTTGTTTGATCTCAGCCTTTTCTACTGAACGCCGGGCCAGAAACAGCAGAGAGGAGGAAATGTGGAGTAGGTGATGACATGAAGGGAAAGCAGGCTGGCGTGTTAGCATGAGAACCTTGTTTTTAGCACGCTGGATGTGGGCGCAGGCTGAGTGATTTGTCACCTGCAGTTGGTGTAAAGCACACATCAGCACAGAGACATGTGTTGTAGATAGCTTTCTGTTTAAATATTTTTATGTGATATTATAGAATGAGTGATTTAATATTATTATTATTGACACTCTAGCAAAATTGGTGAAGGATTAAGACTAGTTTAAAATCTGGAACCTTCTTGAGAAAACTTAACCCTTTAATGGGAGCTTTTAGTTGAATTCAAACTGCTAATATGTACATTTTATAAGGTTTTTCACCACTACAGAAACACTGTGTAACTGTACGTATGATAAGGCTGTCTGACATTGCTGTTATTAGTTAGATTATGATTTAATAATGTGCGATTCTCAGAGCCTTTAGACAGTAACCTCTGCCAAATCGTTAAATGATTGTAAATTTGCACTTTTACCGATGTGTACATTTATCTCCCATAAAGGAGAAAAAACACTACCATGTAGAATGATTGATTCATGTTGTCAACATACGCAAAACTCTAACACTTGCTTTGTGGTTTGAGAAATAACTCCAAAGTTCTGTGTGTGTGTGTGTGTGTGTGTGTGTGTGTGTGTGTGTGTGTGTGTGTGTGTGTGTGTGTGTGTGTGTGTGTGTGTGTGTGTCTGTGTGTGTCTGTGTGTGTCTGTGTGTGTCTGTGTGTGTGTCTGTGTGTGTGTGTGGTGCCCAGATAGTTCACCCGGTACAAAAGGCTGAGTCCTCGCTGCAGCGGCCCAGAGTTCGAATCCAACCTGTAGCCCTTTGCTGCATGTCATCCCCTCTCTCCCCCATTTCCTGTCTATCTTCCTATCTTCAGCTGTTATTATCCATTAAAGGCACCCCCCCCGAAAAAAAACCCCAAAAACATAGAGGAATATGCCACCAGTCGCCTTCATTACAGGCTGCCATGTTAAACCTCCATGTTCCTACAGTAGAAGTAAAGTTGTCTCTAGAGGGAGCTGTGTGAAATCTGATAAATGTCTTCATGTGACGTCACTTGAGTCAGCATGAATTGGGGCTGAAGGCTACACATTTGAAAATGAAAAACATCTGCTACCAAACACTACTACCAGCATAAAATGCATTGTGAATAAAGTAGGCACCAGGTTTTGGATTTAAGAAGACTATTTCTCTGGTACTGCTACATCGATTTTTAACAACAAAAAAAGAAACATTGTCCATTGTCAGTGTAACAGTGTTATAGGAGTGCAATACTAAATTGGTAGTGTTCTTTAGAAGATCAAAAAATAATATTGTTATTGAAAACCTCTCAAAAAAGACAAAAAACCTATATGATACTGTACCATAATTTAGACATGTATTTATTTTGTTTTAATTATAAAACCAACAGACTAGAGGGGATGTATTTACATTATTCAATTAAATTAATGTGATAACCTTTCAAAACTTCTCCCTAAGCATACCACATCAAGAGTGGATTTTTTTTTCTGCCACTAATTACCAAGAAGGAAACCACCTGTCTTGTTTGAAAGTCCCATCAGACCCTGGAATTTCTTTGGGTGTGGGCCTTACTTCAGTGCTAGAGATTGCTCTATCAGGTTTATTAAACTCATTAAACTTTTCAGAAAGATACTGCAACTACCAAACAGTTGAGGAAACCATTAAGGGATAACTGCAGCCAGATTGAAAATGAGCTGATAGAGTTCTAGTACATTTGTGTTGCGAACCACAACATTTCAGTATAACGAGTTGGCTTTGTTCGAATGAATCCACAGTGTCAAACTGAAAGGCTTCTTAATTCACATTAAAACAGTTCTGTTTGGACAGCCCCTGCTGAATTAGACAAGCAAACCAAATAGCCTTGGTCAGTTTGGTCTTGTTTGCTGGCATTTCTTTTTTTGGCTGTCCTAAACTGTGCCAAGAGTTAAGAGAAGAAGCCAGATTGATGCCAGCAAACTCAGATTGAAGACTATTTATTTTCTTTGAAGAGGGCAGCTTTGGTGGCTCTGAGTGAAGCAGGACAAAAGCCCTAAAAGAAGGAGCGGTAGCAAGATTTATGGCACTCTGAAGAAGCTGTCCCATAAACCAACAGACCAGCTGTGTGTTGTTTGTAGGAGGTGACAACCATTGATGTCGCTCTGCCTTTTGTCCTCACTTCTCTCTCATTCTCCCATGTTTCTTCTTCTCACCACTTTGTTTTTTGGGCAGCTCTGGTTTGCAGCAGCAGCAGCAGCCTCCTTTTTTAAATGATAAATTTGGGTTTGTACACTAACATCAAAGTGCATTTAAAACTCCCTTTAGACTGGCACATTTAAAACCACATCTCCAGTTGGTGTGGTTAGATGCTGCTTGGCTTTGGCAAACAGGGCTTTCTGTCAAGGTTGGAATTTTGTTTAATAATGTTGACTTTTAATTTTAAAAAATAGGAGACCTATTATAATAAATGTATCTATTATGGGAAAATATAAATTTGTCAGCTGTCAGAGGTTTGGGAGGCTGTTTATACCACAGTATTTGTCTCTAGGAGTCCTTTTCCAGCTTAACTGCAGGTACGTGGGGCTTCATAGGTGATGCCAGTTGGCAATCAAATCTTATATCGACGGTTGGTCGTCCTATGCTGATATTAAGGCGATATTAATTAACTTACTATCAAAACTAAGATGTTAAATAAGCTCTAGAATATGTGCTATACTGTGCATTTTATAGCATTCTTTAACATTTTAAATCCTTGATTACAAACCTGTTTGCATCACTTTTCCATTGATCTGACACGCCGCATCTCCGTTCTCCATATGCCTGTTCACCAAAACCTTTTCAAATAAGGCGGTTTAGGAACCATCCTTATCTTCCTAAAAAAAAAATGGGTAAATAGGTGGAGCGTTGGTGGAACTAAGAGGGGCTGAATGGAGCCTGGTTACTGACCCACCTGTCACTCAAAGCATCCACCCCCTTAATTATGCATAACTTTCAGCCTTAACATAATTTAAACAGGTGAGTTATATAAAAAAGTTCATGAATGGTGAAATTAGCTATAGAGACCAGAAGTGTGTTTAGTACCAGGCTGTAAACATGTTTATTTCTGCTGTAAAGGTGGGCATTTTAAGATGGGGCCTTATGGAGACTGACTCACTGCTGGAGCCAGCCTCAAGTGGCTGTTAGAGGAACTGCAGTTTTTGGCATGTCCATGTTAGCCAGCCACAGAGGTAACTGCTAGGCGACAGCCCATTTTTCCCATCATGCATTAGCCTAGTGTGCCAATGTTACTTTTTGTTTGTGTTTGTAATTATATGTTCAGAACATTGTGGTTTATGATGGTAATTGGTTGGTTGGTTTATAGTTTTAACCATTAACCCCAGTGAGGTGGCGGTTTCATGACTCAGTTGTCCATGCAAACACATCATTGTTGTGCTGTGATGATATGCAAATTATTGGTTAACTTTAAGATACAGAAAAACTGCACTTAATTAGTAGATTAATTGACCTCGTAGTGATTCCAGAAACTTTGGACATATTTGCAGTGTTTCCTCTATGTTGATTTTGGAGCGGCTGCCCACCGCTGTTAAGTTTCTGCCGCCACGGTATCAGAAATGGGGCAGACGCACGATGTAGCCACTGCTAAAAAAAATCCTAGAGGAAACACTGTATTTGATATCCCAAAACACAATACTTCAGTTTCGAGGGTTTTCAGAGCTGTCGACAAATCAGGGGCCAGATAATCATGTCTGACTATCTGGATGTGTCTATTTCATCTGCAGCCAAGTCTGCGAGGGTGTGAGCTCTTTCTTCCCCTGAGCACTCACACTGTACTCTTGTTGAAATACATGAGCTGTCCACACTTCTAAAAGTTCTGTTGGAAGAGGACGGAGAGCAACTAATGACTCTGTATCAAGGTGATTAGAGCTAGACGGTGTAGAACACACTACACAGCTGCTCACTTTAAAGCTAACTTTATCTCCTCCGGTAAAAGAGTTTCTATTTTTACCCTGAATTATGAATAGAAATGTGTAGGTTTTCTGTCCATAGTAATGTGTCCATAGCTGTAATACCCCTCTCATACAAAGAACATGTATGAAACATGCCAATAAAAACTGCCATAATACTCTAATAATACTACTTCTGACAGTGTCACATACATAGTGTGTTTCTGGTGGCTTGTCATTGTTGGAACACACATGGTAATTCGATCTTTGGTATTGTGTTCTCAGTTCATTTCTTAGATTAATCAGGTTGAGAGATTTGTGCACTTGTATGTACATGTGTATCTGATCAGGTCATGAAACAATCTGTCTTCAAGCTATAGTGAGTGTACATGGATGTGCCTGTAGTGTGCCATGGTGATGCTGGAAAACTGTCAGGGTATCTGCAGGGCTTGAAAAGTCTCAAAGTATGGAATTCGGTTCCCCCCCAAAAAAGCCCTTGCAGTAGAAGGTATTAAACGTCTCATATTTAATTAACAATTTTGACTTTTTCTTTTTGCCTGTTGCAGAGATTAACATTAGTTATAACTTTTTTTGTATGTGGTTGCAGGCAGGTTGTCAGGAAATGTTATACAGCTATAAACTAAATGAGGCTGGTGCGACAGTGGATTGTGCTGCAGGAGGCTGTTTCATCATTTTTGTGGAGTCAGCACTGTAGGACCTGTAGCAAACACTGTCACTGCTGCTACGGTAGCTAGGAAGCTCATCAACCCATAATGGGCAAGTGTTGATATTAGCAAAAACTAAAAGGACCAGTGCAAATCTTAAAGGACTAGTGGATATTATGTTCCATTTCCAATAGAGCCTCCTAAATGTTACACACTGGACCTTTTTAAATGAATGTTTTTAACTGGGTATGAAACTATCTCAGTCTAATACAGATGCCTCTATATGATCAATGTAAACAAATAAGACCATCTTAGAAAATAGTGGCTCTTTTTATATAGTTATTCTTAATGCCTGCCACCAGTTCCGGTGAACAGAAAATTACTGACAAAAATATGACATAAATGTTGATAATTTCATGCATTCAATGAATAATTGTGGTCCTTTTGGCCCTACTGGATTTGAATCATTCTAACAGGTATGACTATTTAAAAGTGTATTCAATTTGATTCTATATAGTATTTAAAAGTCATACATAAACCCTTTTATTGGCATTTATTTGTGTCCTCAATAGTCCTGAGTCTGTGTCTTTTTAGAAAGAAAACTAGAACGCTTTGACCCTGATGAAAATTCCTCTGGCACTCTGTCACATTTGAATTCATTAAAGAGGATCATGATTAACTCTAATGGCTTCTTTAAATTTGCAATTGTGACCAAATTGAATTAACTGACTGACAGGGAAGTTTTCCCTGTCCTTTTAAAATCACGAGTTGCTCATGTAACACTGATGGGGTGAAGTTGAAATGGATCCAGTGCGTACAAATGAATTGTTCGATGACTTGCTACAGTTCTATGCTGTACATTTGCCACACTGAGGCTTAAGTCAGGTGGCCACTAGATGTTTCATCAGAGGAAGTCTCATATTATGGGGGTGTGATTGTCTTCTGATGTCGGCCAGAGTGTCCATGCGGTTTGCAGGTGCTTTGATAACAATGGACTATATTGGCTCAGATATTTTCTTGGAACTTAATCCCTGTTTCTGTAGCATTCTCTCATCTCTTCTGTAAAAGTGCACATCACAGTCAAGAGGCAGTTTGTACAGCTACGCAGTGGCAAGATGTCAGGAATGTGGAGTAAAAGAATCCGCACAGTGCTCGGAGCACTGCCCAGTCTCTCACCTGTGCACACCTGGAATCCCTGCAGAGAGCACACGTGGCTGACCGGTCGGTTCCAAAAGCGGTGATGTTGACTCCTCTGTCAGAACATCTGAAAGGAGTTTTTCACCGCCTTCTGAAGGAGAGTCTTTCTGATTCAAAGTCTCGGCTCACTCTTCGTTCTTTTAATACTGATATATTTGTTAGGCATTAGACATTTGAAGAACACAGCCATGAAATAAACTCATTCTTTGACAAGCATATATAGTGGAATTTAACAGTATAATATAAAAAGCATGCTAATATTATAATAAATTCTGCTTTTTATTAAATGTGTACTAATGGCCAAAAACGGAACAGTTGTATACTATATCATAAAAAATGAGTAGAACCAAACAATGACTTAAATGGAAGCAGAAAAGAAGAAAATGGAACCAGCAATTCTGGTATCCGAACCTACAGCTGAGCCAGAGGTAGCAGGAATCAAACCCCAGGTCACTGTGGTGGTGGACACTCCTGCTCCTCCTCTCTACCCCCAAATGTAAGTTTCTCTGTCCCCGACATGAAATAGGCTCCACATACTCGTATCTTATTTGTAGCAGACTGACATGTTTGTTTGAGTGCAGTCATATACACAATGCTGAACACCACACTAGGGATCGGATGATATACAGTATTATCATGATGAAATTTAATGTGGTAAATTTACGTTATTGGAATGAATCAGGATAATTGTGCCTATCCTCATATGAGGGACTTGAACAAGCTGTCCAGCTCTCTAACGTAGTCATATATTGATTTCCTGAATGGGGGAAATCCATATATACAATATCAGAAATACTTTAATAATCCCAGGGGGAAATTACATAATATATAATATGTATTCTACAATAAGTCATAGTCATTATCATGAGCACTCTTCTGTTCCAGCACTGCTTGTGTGTGTTTTGTGCACGTGTGTGGTGAATCATTAGACTGTGATTTATGAAGCTACATGTAGACCTGAGGCTCAAGCCTGGCTCTTTTCAGATGAAGCCAGCTCCACGTGGATTTGTTGGATGGATGTTGGCTTTGGGCCCTGACACACTAGGATGACTTCAAAGAATTAGTGCTGACTAATGTGCCACCTCATGTCTTGTTAAAAGCAGCACTTAAACTCACCTCAAAGGCTACAGTCAGTGACCAGCTGGCTGCTGACATGCTGTAGACCTTACTTCTGTACATCACTGAAAACAAACTGGCAACTTATTCCACAACTGTGAATCTGATAAAAACACTGGGGCTGGGCAATATGGCCAAAAAGTAAAAGCTTTTGTTTGTTTGTTAACAACAACATAATTAAACATCTGAAACATTTTGAATTTAATGTGCAAGAATAATAAAATACCTGTCCTACTTGCAAGGCTGTTATCATTGTGCATATTCAAAAATACACTAGACATGTTGTTCAACCACGTCCGAAGACCGATGTGTTTGTGACTGTTCCAAACGGCCATACTTAAAGGGGGCAGGACTAAAAGTAACCTTTTCTGCATGTTATAACAATGATTTTCACAATGTATACATTTTATATCATGCAAAAACAAAAGTTGTATTTAATCTATGCCCCAACCCTAGTGTCACTAAAGCTACGTTCACACTACAAGTGGCACAAGTCAAATGCAATCTGATCTTCTCAATTCTGATTTGGGCCACTTTTATACGTGGTCCTAAATCCGATACAGGTCTGATTCTTTGCAGTGTCACTGTTTAATGTCCCTCAGATCAATATTCATCATGCACGTCTCTACAGGACCGTGTTCACACTGGAACCTGATATGGGCTGCATTTTAAAAACAATGTAGCGTAACTCAAGTTTAAAGGAGTACTCCAGTGTTTGAATATATGTTTTCCATAAAATATACATAAAAGGTTAAAATTGAAGCAGCAGGGACGGAGATATCCTGACTTTTAGTCTCTAATATGGATCAAGCTTTAAAAAAAAAGCTAGAGCCTACAATTCCCATAATGCAAATAGATAGGGAGGATCTGATAAAGAGAATGCTGTCTGCTTAACACTCATGTCTTTCATACTCCATGTCCACTCCATTATCTGTGAGGATTTTTGCTGGACAGAACGTGGAACAGTTTTATGCATTTCATTTGCAGTATTGTATTGGAACTCTTTTATTAAATTGGAAAAAGTAGCAGAGGAAATGGTGAATGTATTATGGCATCAAAATGGTCAAATGTCACAGAATATTGATGTAAAAAGCGGTATTGTATTTTATTTAACACTTTTGTTTTCTCTTCTTCCTCCCAGTCCGAACAGCCCAGTCCAGCCAGTTCCAGCTCCAGTTCAGGCTTTGCTCCCACACACCACAAACGACAAGGTAATTTTCTGGAACATACATACAGCTGATCTCATGTTTATTGTCTCATTAAGTCAGAACTGATGTGTATAATGCGTTTTAGTAGAAATAAAAAGGAGCTCAGTCAGTGTCAGAGACTTAAACCACGCTGGCATTTCCTTTCAAACTGAACATAACACTGAATTCTTTTTCAGAGACAAGGAGCCTGTTTGCTTTGGTATCATTTTACAGGCCAATTTCAGTATCAGGGCCACTGTTGGAAAATGCAAAATTAGAAAGTTTTGAGGATTAGAGGTCCAGTGTGTAACATTTAGGAGGATCTATTGTCAGAAATGGAATATAATATTCATAGGTATGTTTTCATTAGTAATCTTTAGAATGAGTTGTTTTTATGGAGTCCATCATGTTGAACTGCCATTTTTGTACAGTAGCCCAGAACAGACAAACCAAACACTGGCTGTAGATAGGACCTTTTGCATTTTTTTGCACGTTCCGCAGCCACCATAGTTTCTCCTTCGCACTGGGAAGGGGAGACTAAATCAGAGATTTTTTATAATGTATTTAGTTTTGTGCAAAATAATGGCAAAGGTCAAGGGTGCCTGTAAATAAGTGCAAAGGGTTGATAAGAAGAGAGCAGGAAACTGCTGTTTGCAATTTTTGTAGATGTTAGTAATGGAAATATGTTCAAAATATTGAGCTTTCTTGTGGTACTTGAACGTTGAAGTGGCCATCCTACGTAATGACAAGACCAGCAGTGGCTCCAAGACAATCTGAGTTTGAAACTCCTGCACTAAATCAATAAAGTAAATATATTTTGAAAATGTTCCAGGAAAAAAGATGAAATGTTGAGAAAAGGCCACGTTATTATGAGGTAAAGCCATCATTTATAAGAGACAATTATAATAATTCTTGATTACAGGATTATTTCACTTGAAATAGTTGTAATATTATTATATAATGGAATGACGTTATTCTCAGAATCTTTTTGTCTGACAGTTGGCATAATATTTGGTGGTAGAGCTCGACATGAATCACCAGACCTGTTGAAACTATTTTCCAGTGTAACCCACTTATCAGAACCCCTTATTTGAAAGTGAAAACAAAGGCAAACAGTGATAGTATGCTGTCGGTCAGTAAGAGAGCCAGGTGAGTCTAGAATGTATTGTTTGGTGACCTCTGCCTTTGTGTTTAATTTTCTCTGGATGCAGTGGTGGACTTCATCATCAGGAAAAGGGTGGCTATTCCTGCCACCACCCACACAGGTAACAGTCCCTCTGAGACCTGTGAGCCCCTCCCCCCACACCCTTTTCACATCTGCATGGAGAACATGTTTCCAGCTTGTCCACATGCATGAAAACTCATGCATTTCCTGGCAGTCATGTTAGTAGGGTTTGGTATTATATCAGGGATATGATACCACCCTCCAGATCACCCATCACTGCTGATCCAGCAACATGTGCACATATAGAATGTCCTCCTGCACCCTGAGAGAGGAGACACACTATTCATCTCCACTGACTGTCCACACGTCAATGAGAGACACTGTTGCACTGGGTGTTCCTTCATCACCATGAACACACACTGTACTTTAATTGAAGTTTATTAGTTACTTGAAAAATGAAATGAAACTATATTTGTGAGCTATCAGGGCTCTTACTTAAGGGTGTCCTACTGTTCAGGTGATGGGAAAAAATTATCAGGGATGATTTTTAAAAAAAAGCCAATAATGGGAAGCTGTTTTTTCCACAGATTATCTGTCTCTTGTTCTACTGTCAGGATACAGTGAAGGTTTCAGTGAATATGACAGAAAGGTATTTATATGAAAGTACCTACTGCAGCTTTACAAAGGTGTCAATGTAGAATTGCGACTGAGTACCCTGGTGTCACAGGTGGCCAAACCGGCAAAATGTATTGTATTTTATTGCCTTTAATGGACAGTGACAGCAAAGAGGGAGATGACACACAGTCAGCTCTTCATCAGCCCTACCAGGTGAGCTACCAGGCCTGCCCCTATTTTTAAAGTTTTAGACTTCAGTAGGAACCAGTGGGCTCAGAGCTGAGAGCCACAGACAGAGTAGGGGAGTCAGGGGAGACTAACACATTGTTGGTCTTTTTGTGGGATTTGCTGACAAAATATATAAAAACAGACAGCCTTATCAAGTATAAATGTGTCCCTGCTCTTACTGGGATCAAACCAGCATCTGTTCTGGAGCCATGAGCTCCACTGGATCATCCTGCCATCCCTCCACCTCGCAGCATGATCCACTGCCTCATGCATGTTTGTACTCATGCTTAATTGTAAATAATAACAATAATAATAAAAAGACTCAATTGCAGTGTGGTCTCTTGTGTTCTGTCTCTCTCACGCACAGTGCTGGGCCCGCTGCAGTCAGTCATGCAGGATCTGCACTCAGACGACAACGATGAAGATTCAGAGGATGACGATGACAATGACATGGACTCTGACGTGGAGCGACCTGCACACACACACCTTACACACCATCAACGCAGGTCAGTAAATGGTCACAATCACAACGGGCCAGCTTGTGTCATTAAAGTGTAATCATAGACAGGCAGCACATACTAACATGATACAGACACTGTTTAACTAGACTATTGCAGTTTGGGTTGTTGAGGGGCAGGTTTGTGATTTTCTGTGTAACCTCTCACTGGAGTGAATTTTGGCATGTTCTCACATGCAGAATGGTGAGCTTGCACTTAAAAACAAGCTTGGGTTTGGCACAGGATTCTGATCACCACATTTGTGCAAGACTCCAGTCAGAACTTGTCTGAATTTACACTTTACACTCAGTTTCCGGGTTCCCCTGAGTAGCAGTAAATATGTTTTCAGGTTGTCTATACCACTGCAGTATAGGCAGCATTGTTAAATAGTGAAGCATTTTGCAAGAGACAGATAGAGAGAAAGAAACCTCTTTTCTCTCTACATGGCCCTGGCAGCACGTAGCTTGCCGCTAGCTGGTAGCTACCTTAAAGACAATTTAAATGCCAAGCTACATGGCGTAAAGTGTGGCTGTATTTCATTCAAAAGGATTCTGGACAGGACATGCAACAAAAAAAAATTGTGTTTAAAGGGGGCGTACACTTTAAATCAGAGGGATTCACCGTGCTTGACTGGCTGTGTGACCCCATACCAGGCACATCAGCCAGCACTGTGGGCGTCTCTAGCCCCGGAGATGTGGCACATTGATGTAAAAACAATATGTAAATGACAAGTTGCATATATTATACTGATATATGATATATATGACTTTCCATTTATATCTATGATGGGGAGACCATTGATGATGAGGACAGCAGCCATTCCTCAGGTTAGCAAAAAGTTTGATAGCTGGACTTAGAATAACAGCTCTTACTGTAACTGTTGTTTAGTATTAAATTAGAGTGAGTTTGTTCTACACATTTATATTATAAGGTATTTACACTAATATATTTAAGTATACATTAAACTCTTAGCAGATAATATATTGATTAAAGTTTTCCTTAGCAATAAAAGAAAAGCCGTACTTGAATGTCATCAACCATCATTTTGTGCTTGGTTTTTAAAAAAAGCATTGGTTCGGGCACCTCTTTAAAATTCTCATTTTCACACCAGTATCTGAAAAAACCCAAACAATGTGAAACCCTAGCAGGCAGGATTTGTAAATAGCTTTTGCTAATACATTAAATATATCAGCTTCATAAGGTGATAATATGTCAGATGTTGAGTTTACAGCTTGTTCTGCTGTCCTCAAGTGGCCAAAAAAATCAATGAATGCAGCTTTATGCAGTACAAGGCCCAAAATCTTTTTGAAAACGTGTGGAGGCGGTAACAGTCTCAGGTTTGTCTCAGTTAGACCCAGGCAGCCGCACTGAAAGGTATAATGCGTCTTTTGATCTACTGAAGCATTTATTCTTTGTCTTTTCTCCTGCAACTTACTACCCAGGGTCAGTCTGAGTGATGGCAGTGAGAGTGACAGCTCCTCACCCTCACCCCCACCCCGCAACGACGCCCCACCCTTACTTAAGACTACTAATAACCAGGTAAGATAATAGTATACTATGTATCAGGTATTTTGTCAGTGTAATTCTGTCGGTGTAAGGGGAAATCAGGTATTAAAGGCATACTACGTAGGATTTTCCTAACAAACAATATATAGACTCGTACAAACATAATCCCTGTCAGTCATCATTTATGACCCTTATGAAGCATGTTTCAGTGTCTGTATCTGCAGACCCTGCAGCCCTCTGCCTTCTTATTTTTCTGTGTATGGGTCGTTTCTGGGTGTCAACCTTTGTGCACCGCGCAAGATCTGAGGTCAGGACTAAAATAAAATCATAGCTACTAGGTTACATCGATGTCTCGGTCACTCTCTTCTGCTCTCCAGCTCTGGCATAGCACTAATGGAGATCTATGCAAGGCTATGACCAAGGGATTGGGCTACACACACTGCTACACACAGCAGACAGTGCAGCTTCAGCAGGATTATGCGGAGGAGTGGAGATGCTTTAGAACGGGACCACTGTGAAACAATCAGAAAATAATGTTATTATTTATTTCTCTGATTCACTGCTTTGTTCTCTGTGTCAGCTGTGTCTACCTTGTTCTATCATCGCTGCTCTCAGTTGAACCGGGGGGGAGGGGCCAACTTTGAAAAATCTTATATAGTATGCCTTTAATGTATGTAGCATCAATACACGCAGAGTGAATTTGATTCAATGTGTTTACTCTGTCCTCTGTCAGATACTGGAAGTGAAGAGTCCCACCAAGCAGAGCAAGCAGGACAAGAACAAAAACCTAGATTGTGACAAGGTACACAAAGCTTCTTTTGTTTTGTTTTTCAGTAGAAAGCAGCCCGTATGAAATAGATTGTATATTACCAGTAACATATGGGAGCTGTGCATGTTCAGCACTTGACTTCAGAAGAGTCTGGGACCGTATGTTACACTATTCAGTAGTGCTGTCAGTTAAACGTGTTATTAACGGCGTTAACGCAAACCCATTTTAACGGCGTCAATGTTTTTATCGCAAGATTAACGCCTAGCACACTTTGTAGTTTTTTTCACATGCTGTTGCAACAACTAGTAACGTTAGAAAAACTACAACACCACACCGGATCTAGCTAGACCGGAAACAAAACAACAGGCGCGCCACACACACTTGTTGAAGAGTAGTAGACGTTACGTTTTGAGTGGATGGCGAGCGCGAGACATCGAAATGGATGCCAATAATATTCTGAATGGAAAGTTTACTTTTAAGAAGTTGCCAAATGGTTCCATTGACAAGACCACAGTGATCTGTGTGTTTTGTCGTTGTGAAGTTGTTGAGTCTGAAATACCACTTGATGGCCAAGCACACAGCTGACGTGAATTCTCCGCCCCCTCGTCAAAGCCAGGCGACAATGGATGATTTTTCAATAAAAACAACATTTGCACAAAGCAAGCCGATCCACTTTTCCATGTTGATAAGAGCATTAAAATGAGAAAAATAATGGGACAAAAAGAAATCAAGGGACATTTAGAATAGATAAAAATGTGCGATTAATTGCGAGTTAACTATGACATTAATGCGATTAATCGCGATTAAATATTTTAATCGTTTGACAGCACTTCTATTCAGACAGGCAGTGATGCAGGGTTGATGTGTGTTAACTGTTGCTTTGAATGGGTTAACATATTTGCTCTTGACCTGTATGTGTGTTTATCAGGGTTCCCACGAGTCCTGGAAAATCTGGAACACCTGGACATTTAGAGAGTAGTGTTCCAGACGTGGACACACTGGGAAATTAATTAATATGACCAAATATCCTGGAAATAATTTATGTATGGAAAATCTTTATTGTATTTTAGCCTGTACTGTTGCCAAATTAATGTTATGGTTGTAGGAAAGCTGTTGTCAATTCGGAAAGTGGAAAAATAGGCTAGCCAAGTGCGCCACAAAAGCGAGCTAACACAGAGTGTCCCTTAAACGCTGACCACTGTATGTGACTACGTGCTATCCTGTAGTGTCCTGGAAAATGTTCTGGAAAGGTCCTGGAAATTGATTTCTTAAGTGTGGGAACCCTGAACATGGTTTTGGTACAACACCTGTAGAAATACTTGATGGGTTGCTATAGTTATTATAGAGTTGATGTAACTTCATAGTTGATTTTGGCAGAGAGCTCTTAACTAACTCATGCTGTGTTTAAGTGGAGTTAAAAAAGATACCAAAATCAGGTCTGAATACTTCACTCAGTATAAACACCATATGGCTTCAATGAAGAGCTGCAATGACGAGGAATATATACATTATGCGATACCGTCATTTCCACATTCCATTTCCAATCTTAAAGCTACTTAAGAGGAAACCTAGGGGGGAAACTGGCTTGTTAAGTTAAAAGGTGACAACAAAATAAACCAGTGTAGGTGTTGCAGCAGTTGACAGCTCTGCTAGAAAATACAATTATACCAGATGTGGACTAATATACTATATATTGATTTAACCAGAAAGTCACGTTGAGAGCCAGATCTTTTTAAAAGCAGGATTGGGAGGGTTATTTTAAGAATGGAATATAGTTACTAATTAAGTCGTCCTTTATTATCGGTGAATAGATGAAAGTGCTGATCTCACCTGACAGAGAACGAGGACCAGCGTACCTTCTGATACAAGCAGGGTTCCCACACACCCTGGAAAACCTGGACATTTATAGACTAGTTTTTACAGTAATGGAAACACCTGGAAATTGATTATAATGACCAAATATCCTGGACATGTTTGTATTTTAGCCCCTCACACAGATCACCTACGTAAACCTTGGTGTGTATTTTGTTTGGAACTCGACTGTTGGAAGGATAAGCTGTATGATACTTCAAAGTAGCTTTACCAGATGCAAAGAGGAACTGACAGCAGTGATCAGTTCTCATATCTGCATCATGCAGCATCAAGTTTCTTGTTGCAGTGGTCAACGAATACAGGCACAGTGATGTTAACTGTACATGCAACAAAGACTTTCTAGAAGATGAATTTTCTGTAGTAAAATAATAAAATCAATTCTACTGGATTTGAACTCACTTACTTATGAGCTGTGGCCACATTAATGTAGTCAATTTGCCCTTACATTAAAAAAAAAGGGGGGTAGATAATAGATAATTTATAAAAGTTTAAAAATGTCTGTAAGAATTCTAGCTGTACCCCGCTGTGTGTGCAGCAGTTATTTGGGTCTTGTGCGAAACGACGACTCTGGTATGAAGGGGTTAAATGTGGGTTGAGCGTGTGTTCATTGCCTCACAGCAGGTTTGTGTGTAAAAGTGGCATATGAAAGCCATAAAGCTAACAACACGTTGCTGTGTGTTTCCCAGGCTTACCTGGACGAGCTGGTGGAACTGCACAAGAGACTGATGACACTAAGAGAAGGTCATATACTGCAACAGGTATGTATGATGGTACACTGTCAGGTAGCGTCACTGTGTAACACTCTGTTAACTGAAGGTGATTATTATCATTTCCTTTCTGTTGTACCATTTTTCACTCCGTCTGCCTCCTCTCATTCAGCTACACGTCTCCCACAATGCATTTAACATGTTTAAAAACCCCAGGCGCACACTTCAGACAAAGGTGGGCTTATGGATAGTATTAGTGAACACTGTGATGTGTTTATGTTGGACGTCATGGTTGTTTCTGTGGATTCAGTAAGTTGTGTAGCTGCACTGCAGTCATCTGTTGGTTGAAGCTGCCTCCTCTGCCTCTGCTGTGCTGGATTTCTCCCAGAAAAACTGTTAAAGTCTCAAATGATGAGGTCCAGAGGGAATAACTTGGTCTCAATGCTGAAGGACAACATCATTTTTAAGATGAGCTGAGAATATTTTTCCTATCACCTCCTACATTATGCAGTTGAACTGAATTACTCAGTGTGCTCAGCAGGGTGCATGGATTGGCCAGGGATTGTACCACTGCAGTGTTTTCTGACTCTTATACTTGAACACTTTTTATTCCTTTAAAAAAAAGAACAATATATCTTTTCCCTCTGTTTTAATTAGAGTGCACCAGACTGCTTCAGTTACATGTTAAAACCTTGTTATTTGGGTTCAGGGTTGTAACGTTTGCAGACCTGAAAATGTCCCATCACTACAACCTTCCCCCAGTGTCTGTGTGCACAAAATAACACTTATTTTAATAGCAAGCAGTTTGTGTGTTTTTGTTGTTCAAAACCATAGACTGTGTAAATCAAAATGTCTGTAGTCTCCGTTACACCACCTATGGGTTTGTGAAGAGCCGCTGTGAAGCACAGTGTGAGCGGCTCTGTCCGTGGCCATCTTGGAGTGTGGGTGGAGCTCTGGTGGGCTGAATGAAGCCTAGTTACTGAAAACAGCAGCCTGTGACAGCACCCACCTGTCAGTCAAAGTGGCCATGCCCATAGTTATACACAACTTTAAGCCTTAATACAATTTAATTTGATTAGCCCCGATAGCTCACCTGATAGAGCTGGTGTCACGCGTACAAAAGCTGAGTCTTTGCTGCAGCGGCCCAGGGTTCAAATCTCATCATCTCCTCTCTTATCCCCTTTCCTGTCACTCTTCTGTCACTATCAATTAAAGGTAGTAAAATACATTGTAATGATATATATATATATAAACACATACATATATCATTTAAAGGGGTGAGTTATATAAACATTCACCCCCCATACAGTTCTCATTTACGGGGAAATTAGCTATAGAGACCAGAACAGTTTTTGTACCAGGCAGTAAATATGTTTACTTCTACTGTAAAGGCCTTATGGAGACTGACTCACTGCTGGAGCCAGCCTCAAGTGGCTGTTAGAGGAACTGCAGTTTTTGTTATTTCCACGTTGGCTTCATTTCTCAGAGCGGTGAGTTTGTCAGTGGGTAAAAGATGTAGCATTAACTGTCGAACAGTTTAAAAAGCAATGGGCTTGAAATATCTCCACAGTCGACTAAGAAAATTCACAATCACTCAGTTATAACATTATGTAACATTAGCTAACATTAGTTAGTTAGTTAGTTAGCTTAACAGCCAAAGTGAGACAGCGAGCTAATATTTTCAGCTTTGTCTGACATGTTGTAAGTCTTCAGCCCCACCTAGCACTGCTGACTCAATTCAGTCTGAACTCTTAAAAACACAATTAATATACATATACATCTAGAAAATAAAATAAACTACTATTTAAATGAATCTGCACTCATAATCTTAAAAGTATCAGATTCCATTGGCAATAAGAAAACATTTAATGTAGTGGAGGTTTGATATTATCACTTACATTCCTGCATTATTATCTTCTGTGGAAAACTTACACTGAACTGCCGAGCTCCAGATAAAAAGGGAAAAGTGCAGTGGCTGCCTTCCCACAGTTTTCCCTGATCTCAGCATAATACCACTACCTGCCAGTGCTATTGGTCAGCTGTATTGTTGCGTCGGATTAGAAGAGGAGCTGTGATCTGTTACAGATCCTCTGCAATCTGCAGCTTCATCTGGAAGCAATGAATTATTTGGTTAACCTCTCTCCACCTAAGAGATTGCATGTTTCTTGCTTATATTCCCGGGCCCTATCATATAACGGTATTAGTGGATCTTCCCGGCTGCGGCTGCCAGGTTCTGCCTCGCTCTCCTAACGAGACGTCTGGCTCTGAGGAAAGAAGAAATCTCATCCAAAACAGCTTTAACTCGCGCCGTAATCAAGCTAATCTAGCCGAGTTCACCAACTGGCTCCACTTCCTGTTACAAGAGATGGAAATGATTAACTCGCAGCCTCTCCTGCACACTGGCGGGAACCACATATTGTATCACAGAGAGCACTGTAATGCACATGGCGCCTCTTCAGACAGTGGAACACAACATGAGTTTGGTAGCTGTTGAAATGAATCCCAAACTGCAATGAAAATGTGCACCACAGTGCGAGAGTGAGAGAGGTGACGCCTGAGCATCTGACTTAGATCTACCCTGTCATAAAAGCTGGCTGTTATTTCCCCCACATTTTTAAGAACTCTACCTACACATATTATGGTGTTCCTTCTCCCAACCACAAGCTTCTTTTTCCCCACTGGGTACAAAGTCTAAAACCAGTAATACACAGGAAAGGTACATGAAGGAGGAGGCCTCGCTCATTTTTATTACACTGCAAGCTTTGCCCAAACTGTAGAACTCTTGTACTCCGCAGCTAACCAGATCAAATGTGTATGGACCCCTGTTTTCTTCTTTCGTCTGAACCACTCTGCTCTGCGTTTTCTACAGGGTTCCCATATGTCCTGGGAAACCTGGACATTTTCTAGTCACAAAAACATCTGGGAATTGATTAGTTTGACCAAATAAAATAATCTATGTTGTCCTGGAAAAGCTCAGAGTAACATCTGAGCTGTAGCCAAACTGAAGTCATTTTTTAGAGCTGAGGTAAAAAGCAAGCATGCCACCAAAGTGAGCAAACAGTGTCCCTTAAACGATCTGTATTGTCAAGAAAATTTCCTGGAAAGGTCTCGGAAAAAAGTGTGAACCCTGGTTCTGACGTACTCACCTTCAGCATGCTTAGTCAGAGATTTAATAATGATCCATGTCATCCATTTAATGTTTCAAATTGTCCTCCCAACAGGAAGTGCTGAAAAATTAAGATTCATTTAGCTAACAGTGCTAACATGGTTAATGCTTCCTGTGGTAGTTTCTACTAGTGCATGCAGGAAGTAATGTCAGTACAAACATTACATGTATCTATCAGTAGATAATGAATGGTTCGCATTGAAAGAGGCTGACTGTGTGCTGATGTTATTTCACTACTTTGGTTTCTTATTTAAGGGATCTTAAATTGGGCAGATCTTTTACTTGCATACGCAGGTTAAATGTTCAGACATGAATAGTTGTACTCTCTGTCCTCCAGATTGTGAACCTGATTGAAGAGACGGGACACTTCCACATCACAAACACTACTTTTGACTTCGACCTTTGCTCCTTGGACAGAAGTACAGTCAGAAAACTCCAGAGTTACCTGGAAACCTCCGGACTGTCCTGAGGCTCTGAGCAGCTGGCTGCTGGATCTCGTCTCCACACAGACTTTTGATTTTTCTTGAATACAAACTCCCACCTTTGGATGCAATGCAAAAGCCCCCCCCGCCCCCCTCCTCCCCCACTGTGGCTGGGTCCAGTTGCTGTGTGTCCAGCCTGCTGGTTGGACTGGGCTTTCTGAATGAAGAGGCGGTCCCACTACAGAAACCAGAGCCAGGTGTTGTGAGGGGTGAGCCCTGTCGATCAGGAGATCACCCGGAAAGCCTTGAAGACTTCACTTGATTTATAGGATTAAAGTGGAGAGTGGCGACCTTGTTGCTCTTAATGAATGTGCATATTGTTACCATGTATGTTTCTTGATTTGTTGTTCATTGTGACAAATGCATGGTCAACATTGCCTTACAACATTGTAAGTCTTATTTATTGAATTTAATTTGCAGGTGTGCGTGTGTGTGCGTGTGTGCGTGCGTGCGTGCGTGTGTGTGTGTGTGTGTGAGTGATTGAAATGGCAAAAAAAGAAAAACAGCAGAATGAGACTTTGTTGAAGCACTTCACAACAGGCGTATCTTTGAATCCTACGACACTCTTTATGTCGCTGACTTGAACTGAAGTTGAATGTCATACTGAATCATTACAATGGGAACAAAACACTGCCACAGAAGGTGTGAATGTGATGCTGATAGATTTCTATTACAAATCATAAAAGACATGCTACATGTGTGCGACACTGTTGGAAATGTGTAATCTGTTTTGTTTTAGGAAATGCTATTCACATTGTGCAAAAACTACTTTCAGCAGCCTCGCAGAAGCACTCCTAAATCTTGCGAGGTCAGTTTTTGTGTGGATCCAGCCAGACGCAAAGGGTAGTGGTTTAGATAACCACAAGCAAGTGCTGTATTTTCAAAATAAAATGGGGTTTGGACTGGATTGGGTCAAATCCCGATCCAATTGTAACCTTGTCTTTTGAAAGGGAAACTGTGGTTTTTGGTTCTGACTGGCTGAAGTCTTTCCAGTCATTTGCAGACAGGTTTTAGCCGTAGAAAACATCCACGATGCAAGCAGATACCACAAGATGAAGGTTGTGTTTGTTGGCTGCATTTTGCGAGATAATAGAAAAAGTGTTCAGTGCGGTTTAGAAACCGCATCAATAAAGAGGTGCTCACACACACACTTACCAGGAACCACACATTTATTTAAAGGGCCAGTGTTAGAAGATAATGATTCAATTGGAATGTCAAAACAGTACATGTGTCTGGCCCGTGGACAAAGTCGCACAATTTCAAACATCTCTCCTCAAAGACATTCAGGGTCCAAAATTAACTTTTTGGCTCATCTAATGGCAGGTAAACAGAGAAAATTAACCAGCCATTTATGCATTATTTAAAGGACCAGTGTGTAGTATTTAGTACCATCTAGTAGTGAAGTTAAAATTCCCTTGATTCGCCGTCCCCTTCGGAGCGGTGGACACAAAAATCTAGTCATTGTTTGGTTTGTCCGTTCTGGGCTGGGTGGTTTAACATGGCGGACTCCGCCAAAAGAGAACCCACTCCCTCTATAGATAAAAACAGCTTATTCTAAGGTGACAAAAACACAATGATTCTTATTTTCTAGTGATTATACACTAATGAAATTACCTATGAATATTCTATTCCATTTCTGCCAATAGATCCTCCTAAATGTTACACACTGGACCTTTAACAAAAACCTTTACTTATTTTAGCCAGAATCTCAGGGCTGCTGTTTCTACTGCCTCCAGGACTTTTCTCTTCTGTCTCTTTGTCGTCATGTTTTCTTTTTTGTGGCTTATCAGTGGGAATGTGTTGCCATATCTCTAAGAATATGTAATGCATATTATGCAAGAACATAGTGGACAGTGAGGGTTGCATTAGTCTCAGCACGGTGATGTGAACTCTGTGATTGCAAATTATTTATCAGCCACTGAGCCCAATTTATTTTTCCACCAAACCCAAAATTAACCCACATTTGGCACTTGCTTAGTGTTAATTTTGGACCCTGAAGACTCAGTTGTACACAAACCCTGCTGTTCACCTTCACACCTCCACACACCTGGCCAATACTAAATGGCTAAATACATAAAGTGTCTGTGATTGTCGGATTGTCTGAAATATTGTTTTAGATCTCTTAGACAATCCAAAAGGCATGTTGTTAGAAGCCTAATGAGGCCTTCGGTGTGCAGACATTACTCTAGCTTTGCAAGACTGCATCTGTTTGAGCTACAAATAGCAATTCTCCAGTGACTACTTAAAGCCCATATGTGCAGAATTTTAAAATATTCAGTTTTGCTGCCCCCAGTGGTGAAATAAAGACAGTAGGGAAGACCGCAAAGAAAGTCATTATCTCCCTTCCTCCACCTCATGAATCTGACCAACTGTAACAATTTTACAAAACAAACTAGAAATATCCTCTTGCAAAAAATTAAAAAAGGTGAGTATCACAACATAAAAATTCTACATAAAGTGGCTTTAAATCCCCACATTTTGCTTTTGTCCTCTTAAAGAAAGCTCATGTTAAAAGCTACAGTAGGTAACTTTTATAAAAATAACTTTTAGTTATATTTACTGAAACTTTCATCATATCCTGACAGTTGTACATGAGACAGATAATCACTAGGAGGAGCCAGTTCATGTAGTACTGTCAGGGTATAGTGAAAGTTTCAGCAAATATGACAAACATTTTTCAAAAAATTACATACTGCAGCTTTAACATGACTTGCAAACTCATCAGACTGATACATCTGTATTCCACATGCATTAAGACTTTAAATGACCCTGCGCACACACAGATAGGTGAAGCATCATTTGGCAGTTTTTTATTCCCATATTCTCACACTGTAAAAAGTAAGACATAGGCGACTGCTGGAGTGAGCTGAGCACAAATCACTAAGTTCTAACGATACAATCAAAAAATACATTTTTATTTTTATTTTTTTATCACTTCCAGGAATAGTGTGCCACAGCAGGTCCTGCCAGCCTGCTCATTGGCTACGACCTAATGAAAGCTTTGTTGTGTCTGCTCATTTTCTGCTACAGGGCCAACGGAACATGCCAAAAGCATAGTTAATAGATTCAGCTGGTTTAGGATACTACAAATGTAAGTCTACAGAATATGATAAGGACGGTGTTGTGTCTTTGCCATCGGGGACATGGATTTGTAGGAGAGGGGGACAACCAACTCCCTTTACAATGTCAGGAAGGAGACTGTTCTGCAATTCTGAAATGTGTGAAATGTTTTTGAGTAAATTTAACACAAAAAACAAAGCCAATAGGAATTTTGGCTGACCGGTACTGTTATGGGTGTTAGAAAAAAGAAAAAAAAAAAGTTATTTTATTTATTTTGTGGGAATTTAAGTTGTTAAATCAAAGCTAAGCATCCATTTTCAAAGGGCCTTTGTTTGATTTGTATCAGGATGGTGAACCGTGGTGGTCCTTTCCAAATGACCTTAAAGGGGTTTTCTTACCCTCCGTTTTGTCTTATGGTTTCCTGTGTATTTTGAGGACATACAATAAATATTCTGTATGATGTACAGATGAGTTATTAAATACCTTGTGAATGAGCTTTTTTTGTCAGATTTTCATTCAGTGTATATATTCTGGCTGTATATATTTTATTCTGCTGCACAAACAAATATTTTAGGTGCGTAAAACATAACTTTTAAACCATTTTAGAATAGTGGTCTTATCTTTGATTAATATTCTATTATTATATTGGTAGACTATTGCCTTCCACAGAAGCTTGTATCTATCTAAATCTGCAAAGGACTGCAGTGGATGGAGCCAGCATGGAGTCACACATTGGTTTGTGGTTTAAAGCCTCTAGTGTGGCTATGGCAGTCAGTTTTTTTATTCAGAAGTGACTAGAACTGCAACAGTTGGTTGATTGATCTATTAGTTGTCTAATATCAACTTAATCTGCAACTTTTCCCAGATCAATTAATCGTTTTGAGTAATTTTTTAAGAAAAATTGTGAATATTCTGGTTTCTTTGGTCCTCTGTGACAGTAAACTGAATATATTTTTGGGTTGTGGACAAAACAAGACATTTCAGGATGTCAGCTTGGACAACAGATAAACCTTTTTTTTAGCAGTTTATCGAAGAGTTAATCGTTGGGTGCAGAATGTGGAGCTGAGGAGGATGTGCATTGCCGCGTCTTTATCCTGATCTGACTGAGAATCAAGGGACACGCCGTGGTAGCAACTTGTCAATCACAAGTCGCAAGGCCCTAAAGCATACCCTGCTTTATCGCCTATTTTACTCTGAATGGGACCATAATTTACTAAAAGAACATCATGCTGTATGGAAGAAGACTAAAACTAGAGACCATAAACTCATTAGGAAACTCTTTACTGAGCTAATAAATCAAGTTAGAAGTCGGATCATTTCTCCATAACATTACATACAATCAGACTTTTTTTTTTGCAACATGTGCAGTCGCCCCCTGGAGGCCATTAGAAAGACACTTCCGCATTGGCTTTGCTTTTTGCAATAATTACATACATACAAATAATAATAATGAATTCACATTATTAATAATAAAACTAATAATTCTGGTTGCATGGTGTCAGCTATTGTTACTGCTCTCTTGTTCTTTCTTCCACTTCAATCCCAACACTGTCTCTGTCAAATATAGACTTTAAAATAATAAATTCACTACCATATTGTACCGACACTGAGCCCTCAGCTGTCAAAACGAAATGAAACTGGAGTGCAGAAAAGGTCTTGGAGAGCTTGGTGTGTGTAGTGTTGGTTGTGCAGTGAGGATCCAGAGAAACCAGAAACAAAACTGATATTTATCTCTCATGCCAGAAGGGCTGATTAAACTTTAATCAACCATAATCAAAGTGTAAATGGGATAAAAGGTCAGTAACTGAGTGAATTATTGGATTCTGGGATGAAAATGTTGATCTCCCTCCTCTAGCGAGACAAAAACTGTGCCGTGCGCGTTCTTTTTTTGTCAGTCTAAGTGGGTGGTCTGATAGAAGGAAAAGTTGGAAGTCATCCAGTTTCCCCATTTATTGTGGGCGAGGAAGACTCACACATGTTTTCATGTCAAACATCTTACCAGGCCTGCACTGGAACAACCTGTTCCTGCTGACTGCAGGCTAAATGTTAAAAATGTCTGTGTGGAGGAGTTGGTAGGTGTTCTCCTATATTTAGTAATGGTGCAGATCTGTGCTGTTCCAGTCCATTTTCATACTGTGGATTTTTATACACACATAATGTGTTTGACTAGCAGCAGGGCCTTATGGCAGCATCACCAGGTAGCGCCACCATCAGGTGAACATTTCCAATTGTGCACAATAAATATCTAAAATGAAGTTTCCTCAGTAGGTTTGTGTTCCTTTTGATTCCTCCTGCAACCCCCTTCAGGACAAGTTTCCACATTTTTAAATAAAAGCCTCAGCATGTTTCTTATGATCATGTGCCAGCTGTGTGTTCATTGTGTCTTTGTAGTCTCAAAGGGAGAATCTTACAAATTGAGATAAATGTACACACACACAAAAGTGACAGGAGTAGTTAACCCAGTCCAACCCTGCTCACTCTCTCACCCCCGTACATCTGACCAATCCCTGAATAAAGTGGGTGTAACTGCCAGATTCTCTGTTTGTAAAGTTGTTCATTGTGTAAAAGAAAAGCTCTTATTTCACTGATGATTTTTTAATTATTATATTTAAATTTTTTATATTTCATTCCACTGATTTAGCTGGTAGGAAAACTGTTGCACACAGTAGTTTTAACTGGTTATAAAACATTCTCAATTTAATACCGATGGCTCTATATGAAACTACATAAACAAACAAGACCATGGCTATATCTATATAGTTATTCTCAATGCAACCAACTCCTGCTGTAGGTTTGAATTCGATTGGATTCCCCTCGAAATTAGTGGAAATTAAGTGGTAGAAACACTACCTGGACTAAAATATCACGACAACCACTGGATGGATTGCTTTGCTTTAGTGCCATCATCAGGTCAGAATTTATTTCAGTACTTTATCGAGTGCTTTTCACACATTTCACACACATTTTGGACAAATACCTGCAAAACTAACAACATTACAATCAGCTTCAGCTGTTGTGTTTAGTGCTAATTACAGAATTTTAGCATGCTAATTTGGCTAATGTAAGATATTGAACATCAAAGACATGCTGACATTAGCTTTTAGCTCAGAGCGCCACTGCGTCTGATTACACATGCTTTACGTATGCTATTTTGGTGGACGGATTTGTTGACATGACCTCTGCCCCGGAAACAACCCAGCAGAGCTCTTTACTTGACAGAACTGGAACCGCCGTATCTGAGTATCCAGATAACCTGCTGTGGTGCAATGGCCAGGGGAGCCAATAGCCACAAGGGGGCGCTAGTCTGTTACTGTTTATTATTCACCCTCCATTGGAATGAATGAGTTCTGGTCTCCGTTAATCTGACAATGCATGTTGTGCGTGCAGTGTAAGTACAGACTGCAGGGATGTAGGGAGATCTGGATACAGTGTTGGAGGCAGGACTTGCGGTTTATCCCTCCGTGAACTTGAATGGGGATAAAATAGGGACTTTAAGAATCAGACTGAATGGATCAAATTCTGATAGGACAAGGACTTATTTCGTGGGGTTTGTGACACTGAAAAAAATGTATCAACTGTTTTATAGCTTCTTCCACAATGTCAGTTTATGGAAAAAGTCATGTGACGGAAGCTATTCCTGTCGTTACATGGTTTGGCCACTACGTCAAATTGGTTTCAAAGCAGAGCGCTCTTCCTAGGGGCTTAACAAACTATCAGAGCTGTTGGAATAGCTGTAGACCTCAGGGAATTTCATGTTGTTTGTAGACTGCCAGGGAGGAACCTCCATTATATCAGAGCTGGAGAACACTGGCTGTGAAAATAAAAGATTGCCAGACAGACAGTTGGACACAACTCAAGTAATGTATCATGCTTTAATCACATCATGCTTCCACCTCCCATCAGACACCTCTTCGTTCCTTCATGAATTGTCCTTCCTTTAAACGGAAACCGCTCTGCAGCCTGAGCTCTGCAGCACACTGGCTGCACTGCTCCAGCTGGGTTTTGTCCACATGCCACAGTTCTGGGTTCAGACCCTTTTGATTGTTTTTATATCTTTTTTTTTTTCCTTCTACACTGTTTGGATGATCCATAGCTCAACACACCCCCCACTCCTCTAATGTTTTACTGAGCCAAAACTGCTTCTTTAAAGGTCATGAGGTCAAGGCTAATAGCAGGGGAGGCCAAGCATGAACCCCACACATGCCATGAACAGCTAATTACTGTATATGTGCTGTGATACAAAAACTCTTAAGAATGATCAAATATTTCTATTGGTTCAGAGGTCAGAACTGCATTCCCTTATCAAACTAAAACCTGCGTCTCGCCATGTGGCTCTGCTGTATATTTTCCCCCTGAGATTAGCCAAAGTTGGAACATATTGTCTGTGACATTTAAGAATTCATCTGCACAGAACAGATAATTATAGGAAAGATTCTGATAAAAGCTTATCCCATTGTTCCTTTTCAGTCAGGTGAACATGAAAAATAAAATATCTTTCCAACAACGGCACAAAATAGTTTTTTTCTCTCTGTGCAGATACAGTGGGTGTAAACATGGCAACTGAGGCTGCACAGTCACTGCACCCATCTGTTAAATTGTTTTATTGTTAAATAAAAGAGGACCAAGAATTGAACCCTGTGGAATTTTCCAGTTTAACAAACAATAGTTTGTGATCCACTGTATAAAATGCAGCACTGAGGTCAAGAAGAAGAATTACAACTTATATCCTATTTAATAAGATATGCGTTGTAATTGTAAAATTGTAAAAGAGTTCTATTTAGTTTATTCAGTTTCAGAAAACCAGTGGGTGTTTAATTTCTGCAATGGGTGTGTTGCTTTTGCTTCACTCGCACCAGTGTTTTTTCTCCAAAAACCAAATCTAAAAACATTCTGTGAATATTATTTTCCATTTCTGGCAACAGATCCTCCTGAATGTTACACACTGGACCTTTAAAGTAATTTCTTCCTTGGTTTGCAGTTTATTAGATATCTAATTGGTCATCTGTCACCTTTCTCTGTGATCACTGTTTTGGTTTTACAAAGTCATTGTGATCTTTTTACTGAGCTCTCTAATGCTTCTCACGTTTTTCAAAAAGATCAAGATCAAAAAACGCAAGACTGCCGTTTTTAAAATGAGCCAACCTGGACAGCATCCTGGAAAAGTTCAGTTTTGGAAATTGTTGTCATTTTGTGGTATGGAACAGTATCTGCACCTTTAAATGGATCCACACTGGATTCATTTGTTCATGTGGCATCATCTCCAGCAGACAGCAGACCTACCAAAGGCTTCTGCACAACCAGGACAGTTTCATCTGTGAATGACTTCACTGCCGTTCCAAATGGAGACAAGAAAAAGAGAAGTGGCTGCTTAGACTCCTGGATTAATTTAAGCTATTTTCCTCTGAGAGAATGGAGCTGAGGGAGGGGAGGGGAGGAGGGGGGTTATAGAGGAAGAATGGAGCCCGGGGGGGTGGGGGGAATGGTTCAGAGTCCAG